GGGGGGGGACACTGAAACGTAGCGTTCCTCACGTAAACAAATGAAGATACTCCAATTGTGGCGGAAAATTTCAAGTCCAGAAAATCGACAGCTATACTTTGTGGAATTTTAAAGATTACCGAGAAAGGCAAACTCAAAAGATGAAGGGGAATCAGCAATCAAGAGGATATGAATATTGTACACTTCTTGTCACAAAATGCGGTTAATTAAAGGACTAGAGGCAACTCAAATTCAATACTCCAATCAGAGGGAAGGAATTTGTGCAGAGATGAATCCAGGCAATAAGCTCATCCTTCTCTTTTCCCAAAAATAAGATAGACTGAAGCAGGACAAATGTACGCAGAAAACACGAATTTGAATATCGTAATGCTCAAAGCGAGCAGTACTAAAGTGTAAAGTTAGTGTTTTCTATATCCTGAGGCTAACTAGGAAAAAACGCATTATGAAACGACAATAACAAAAGAGACACGTGAAAATAACGACCAATGAAAACATGTCACATTCAGTAATTCCAGGACGAGAGAATTAACTGTCAATCGAGAATAGGAAAGGCAAGGCCAATCATTTCCATCACTGTCCCATGTCTAAAAACGATCCCGGCTTGAATGCTAGGGTCTGAGACTTAAATATTCCTCCGTAATATCAGTTGTAATGAATCGAATGACATGAATGCTTTCGATGCTTCAATATTACGAGATGAGGGGTGCGCAATAGACTTACCTCCACATGGTGCACCCTGGGCAACGTATACTTATACGGCAAAAAAGTCTATTAACCGGAATTTGACTTCTGCCTTCAAATTTCTATGGCCCGACTATTTTTCATATTCGACCATTTTCACAGTACTCATCTTACCTTTTTTATGCCTTTGTGTCTGTCTGCCTGTCTCTTTTACCTCTGTGAATCATTATTCTGTCTCCCATCTCGATTTTTTGTCACTTTGATACCCCTTCTCCTCTTCGTGAAGCCCCGAAGTCAGCTCCAGGGCTAATGATAACTATCAAAACGCCTGCCATTTGATATAAATAAATAAATATTACGAGATGATGGAACACAATGATTTAATCTCATGCCCAATGATGGATCCCTTGTGCGTTGACAACATCACCTCTAAACTATAAGCACCTTTCGTTATTAGCACACCAGTGATAAAAAGAGATCTTTGAAAATTTGCATGTATTAGCTGTAAAGATGAGATAGGCGTCATTACCTAATCGAATAAGTTGCACTGATCCTAGTTATATGCATTCTTATTAAAGAAAGAAATTGGACTAACTTATGGAATAGGAAACTGCGAATTGACAAAACCGGTTGTTCTTGGAAATCGTGAATTTATTGCCGCAATAGCACTTAAAAATAATCTTCAACTAGATTTACTGCTTTAAAATGCCTCAAGTCAAAAGAGTGGAAGAGACGGAGGAAATAATGGCAGTACTAGAAGTCATGCATCTTGCAGCACAACTTATGTTTTAGAAGTGCATTTACACGGCTCAATTTATATTAAATGGAATTGTTAAATGGGAGGTAGAGGGTTGTGCAAGATTCCTGCAAACGCCACACAGTAATTACGTCATTGAAATCGAAATACGCTTGTACAAAGAGCTCGTCACAAAGTGATGCAAGACAAAAAAATCGAATTACAGAATGCACCGAGGCTCGACTCACATAAAGACTGTGCGTAGTGAAATCCGCGACTAATTTGATAAATTCCGGGTAGCAGGCAATTTGAACGAATTCGCTCACTTGGAAGGAGACTTTCATGCGTGAGAGAAGACGACAAAATTCGTGGTACACGGTGGGTTCACAAAGAAGGCTCTCCCTGCGTTGTAGAACCTCCAAACAACCTTTCATCAAAGATGCAAGGAGGGTTGGACGTTCATCATTTGTGAACAATGTCCGTCGAATGCTAGTGATTTGCACTAGACAGGAGAGCGGCTATAAAAGAGAAACCGAGTGAATCCCAATTAAGGCACCACTAATAGCCAATCAGTGGAGTACTCACAAGAACGCGGATGCCTGGACAGGCGGGGGTTTGCGGGAGACCGGCAAAGAGACGGAAAAAGAGGTCAATATTATTGGATTCTAGAAAGATAGGTCGCCAATTGGCGGGTAGCTGAACGGTGCTCAGATCATCTGAAGTAGAATTACTGCCTTCCCCATAACGTGACCCAGTTCCGACGAAATCGTAGTTGAGACAGGAACACACCATATTTAAGGTATGATATACCACTTGCAACTAAAAGTTGAGATAAGTAACAGAAAAAAAATTTAACTGAAGAATTCATGTACCACTTAAGCAAAATTTATCGATCTGGCTATACAATTGAGTTTATCTCAAGACCAGAGTGCAGACAAATGAGACAGCAAAAAACGGTTGAGCTCAATTAGCAATGGTGACCACAAAAACTATTTCGATTCAGAGGCAAGACCCTAATTAAACCATAATAATCTGAAAACCAAAACCTACGATAAAAAAAAACTACCTTGAAACCGAGTGAAACATTTTAGTCAACCCTCGAGAGATAGTTGACCTGATTCTGAAATATTTATCAGTATAAGTCAGTCTGATATGGGTTAAATGACACAAACACCATAATTGTACAGTTGCTCGATAGCTAAGCGCGCCCCGATAGATGATGGTCTAAAAAAAGAAGTGGGCGATTCAATGACGCATTTGCAGACTTCGAAGATCCAGGAGACGTACTGACAGTACCAGATATGGGTAAAATCACCTCATTTGTACAGGTTGTTGAAGGAAAAAGGTAAAACCAGTCTGATAAAGGGTAGAAACTTCATTAAATTAAGCCTCCTATCTCCAAAAATGAGACAGTGAAATTAAAACACGTGAGTTCGAAAATTGAAAAAAAACACAGTAACATATGAATTATACCCTGCATTCACAAAAAAACGACGATAAAAGGTGGTGTCTAACATAATTTATGAGGTAGGATTAATGCACACTGAATTATTAAAAAAAAAGATTTTTTGAATCCATTAGATTTATCTGGTCCTGTTTAAATCGAACACACCTAGCAATACAACGTGTATTTCAAAACTACAGTCAAAAATTTGCACATCTACGAAATTAGGAATCAGGAGATCATTGACCAGATCAGTACACGGCCAGTGGAAGTGATGACTGCAACAAACGCCGATCTTATTCTTATAAAAAATTAAAAAATATTGAATTTTATTCTTGGGCAGAGGAACCCATTGTTTGTCACTATCGTTAATTAGGCGCGCATCAATGATTGCTACACCACCGGTTCACAGAAAAGTCAAAAAGATGAATTTATTAAGTGACTAGGTTATATATCAAATAAATAGTCAAGAGATTACGAGAGAGGATCAATTTATTGATAACTCCATTGAGAGGATCGATCAATGATTCTCAGAAATTTACCAAACAGATAATACCTATGGAATATAGCATATTGATTGTTTCTGGGTTGAGAATGGGGTACCAAACAAAGATTTATTGCAAAAGTTCGTCATACCACAAAGTGGCATGAGAAGCCCCCAAAACAATATCTTAGACAATGATCTTAAAGTGGAAACAATACCGAATGAATGCGAGTGGCAACTTTATATCTAGACTTAAATAGGGATATCAACGAACTTAGTGGATTGGTACACATGGGGTAAAATACTCAGTAGCTTAATATTGTTTCAACTCCGAATGTCTACAATCATGCAACAATACAACTATTTGTCTTAAATCAATATAATTGAATGATTTTAGCAATCATCGTGCTATTCTACTTTTGATAACCTGTGTCTATATAGCTACATTACAAATAGGTAAAACTCGAAGTTGGCATACCTGATCTGAATCATTTGAGGAAAGATTCTTCAAATTTGCATCAGTCTGGTGGAGAAGATCTAGGCCAAGTTGGAAGATTTGGAAGAGCACAAGGTCTCGAAATGAAACCAGCAACTTCTTCAAAAAGAAGGTCGCCCTTGTGAGGTCACTCTGAGGGGAAAAAGCAAATCAAGCAATATATTACTATCAAACATAAGTAGGCTGGCCGAAAGAGCTCAACAATACGGCAAAAACGAAACACTAAAACTTACGGTTTTGGGAAACTAAGGAAAAGGGAGGAAGGGATAAGCTAATTATTATAGGCAATGAATACATTTCCTACAGAGACCAGAAACTTAAAATTAGCTAGTTAGAATACTAGCCAATGTTCCTAATTGAATAGAAAAGGAAAACTGCGTCCATATTGCAATTCGATAAGAAATCAAGCTAATGGGGAGAACGAAACACTCAAAATTGGCGATTTTAAAAAGGAAAACATAAGACAAAGAGTGAGGTAATATCTCTGGCGATAAATAGGAAACTCAAAAAAAATGCACATGAATAACAATGATAACGTGAGGTTAAAAGTGCCACGGGAGAATTTCATTCCGCTCCATATTTTTCTATCCCCCTGAACCAACTGTTGACTACAATACGTAGTAGCTAAACTTCGTCTTTTTAAGTAATAACACCGCAGTGAATAGAATAAGAAGAACGTACTGGGAAATACAACGGAACTAGTTGAGTAGACTTACATTAGTATCACCGTATTCCATACATAAGTGCCCGAACCTTTAACGCATATCGTATCTAAACGTCATATTTACAAATTTCACAATTAAATGATGACGAAAACTAGCGTTTAGCAGTAAGAAATAAGTTCCAACATCCATCGGATAAAAAAGACTGTTACTTGTAGATCTGAAGTACCATGTTGACCTCCTGCTTACTGACAAATCTGATCCAAGAACGAAAAAGGAAAGAGTACTTTAAGACGATGCTTCTGCCATAATAGCTTATCCTAACATAAATTAAGAAATTGTCTACACAATCAGAAACTAGAATAGCATTTGAAGGGATGAGCACTAACATGGGTGACGAGAATAGTAAGAAAAGCATAAAAGCATAAATCTAGCCTGCCTTCTTCACTGATAAACGATAAAGGGAAAGATGAATATCAAATAACACAAATAAAAAATTTTAATGCTTGCAAAATAGTTAAGCCGTTAGAAACATACAACAAACTCTTCCAAAACGAAAAGAAAAATCTTCAAAATAAATGTGCAAGAGTAAACTAATTCACTTCCTAATTGGAAAATCAGATATACAGAGATTAAAAAAACCAACAAATTTTGAGTCACATATAAAAAAAAATATAGCTGCACAAAGTGTATCCATCCAATATCAAAACTAAAAGGCGATTAAGTTGCAAACGAAAAAGTGTGTTTCGAGCATTCTGATTCAGCTTGAGAGGTGAATCAAGAAGGCTTCAACTGACCTCAGGATCATGACAACAACAATCACATCTGCATTCCTTATTGCGTTTCATCTTTTTTACTTCCTTAAATTTAACATTTGTATAACTTAAGTAAACTCAGCCCAATCAAAGGAATGAAAGCAAAAGTAAGCAAGTATCGTGGCTTACCTCAGTGGATTGGTAGATTTCAGACACTAAGCTAGATAGCAATTTCACACCGACTAAAATGGCTTGGATCTGACCAGACTAAATGGAAAAAGAGGATTAAAATAAATTCAAAATTATCGCCTACACGAATAAAGTTTTTGACAGAGTCAAAGATGTCCCGAAACGGGTATTCAGGTCCATTTTCAAATGAATCAAACCAACCGATCTTAGTAAGACGGCAAATGAGATTGATTAGCGCCTGCTGGACAATCCCTTGGAGATTGGGTTGGGTTGCGAGGTAATTGAGAGCAAAATTCCGAAGTTGGAGACGTAGATTGACATGGACTACGGTATCTCGGTTGGATATAAATCTTGTAAGAGTCGAAGCGGCAATGTACTGGGAGTAGCAGGAGTTTGCACGCTCTAAAAGGGCCTTGCATGTTGCTATACAGTCGGGACGATCGATTAACCTTGAACATGTCTCTTCAGCTTGGATACGAACGGACTGATCTGAGGTAGTATATAACTCATTGCAGGACCATTCAATGGTGCTAAGAGTCTATTAGGTATAAACAAAGGTGAGACAAGCGCGACAAACATTATTCAGTGTTACCTTACCCAGTCACTCTAGAACCATGTGACTGGCCAACACAAGGGACTAAACAAAAACACTTAAATAAATATGCTTTCATAAGAAAATAAAGAACATTTAATATGGGAAACAAAAATTAAGAAAAATAAACACAATAAGTAAAAAAAAATTGAAAAAGAAGGTCAAAAATTTAAGTTATAACGGATAGAAACGCAAACCTAACATAATTGTTCAAAATTCGGGCATCAAACAAAGCAGTGAAGCATAAAATATAACTTGTAGTAACAATGAAAATAAATGAAACAACTGTCGGCGCAAGATTTTCAGTAGCCAGAAGGCAAACCTACATTTAAATCTACCCAGGATTCCTGAAATGCAAAAAAGATAATTATTGAAAACATCAAGATATGGTTCACCAGTAAACTTATACTAAGGACGCATAAAATAAACTTAAAAACACTTAATTCATGTTTAAAATTTTAATATAATTTAGATTTAACGAGATGAAATTTCTTAAACCTACGTCCATATCTGATTTGATCACGAGATATGGTCACAGATTCCGCGCGTTCAATCAAACCAATTGTAAGATGCCTTAAGGTCATCAATCCATTGAATACTTTTTTATTTCTCATAAATATTTTTACAGCAATTAAATGTTAATTCTTTATTTAAATTAAATTATAAGATTGTAATTTTTTAGTCCAAGCTTTATTTTAGTTTTAGTTAACTTGATTAGACCAGTCACATTTGCCAAGCATGTTCGGCTTAGCTAAGAGGTTTTGCACTGTTCTGGGTACGACCGCGAGACTTTCGCGTTGTCTTAACTCACAGTATCTCTCAAAATCATACGTACGATTTGCTCCTCTGGTGCAATCTCGTTTCCTCTCCTCTAATGGTAAGCCTACCTTGTGTTTTGTAACTATTCTCTTAGTTGATCGGCAATTTGCTCAAATCTTGACGGAGGAAATCAAACAAGAAGCTGAATGCGCCTATTCTTGCGGTCCACCAAAAGGATTTGAAGTCCATAAACGAGATGGAAGCACTGTTGTACTTAAAAAGTCCTTCCCAGACGGAGCGTATGGTTGACTTTTTACCTGATTGACATGCTCTTTTAGTGTTATGGAAATTGAAATGGACATGGCAGGTAGTGTTGTTCCTGAAGATGCTGATGTCGAAGAAAGCAATAATAAAGATGAAGAAACGGGTTCTTCTCTTGAAGCACGTCCCGATCTCAAAATTAGACTTATTAAACCTAGTGGTCGCTCAGTTCTTTTCCATTGCTCTTTTCCATCTCACGATGATGTTGCCCAGCCCACTGATCAAGATGCATCATCTCTTCGTAAGTTTTTTTTTATATAATGAATATCTTCTAATACGCGATTAGTAAGATGAATATTTTTAGCTACTTTCTCAATTGACATGGTCGAGTTAGAGAAAATCCCAGGCTACTTCGTGTATACTGGGCTTTTTGATGATGTGAGTTTTCGTCTTGCTCTCATATTATTAATGATCCTTACGGAATTGAAGAACATTTTTCTCTCTGTAGAACATGTATGACCACATTATGCGCCTTTTGACTGAACGTGGCGTTGACTACGACTTCCAATGCCAGCTTCAGGATTTTGCCACCTCGGAAGAGCATGACCTGTACCGAAAGTTTTTGCAGGAATTCCATGTTTATTGCGAGGAGTAGATTCTGTGTGTGTAGTCCTTCATTTTTACACTGTTGTATAATAAATTTAGATGAAAGTGTATTTTATGACTTAATATGTCTTCTTGATTCGTGCATTTGTAGTAATTTATTTGGATGAGTTCTCACTCTCATTGTTTGCACTTTGAATAACAATAAGTGTAGACATCGTTGACTCAGTGTTTGGCATCAGGCAGTTTACCTCTTTTCAAAGATGAGCTAGCGTTATAATCCTTTTTTATCGTAATTAAATGGATATTTATCCTTGAGCTTGGCAATTATGAACATTTTAAAGCTTGAGGCATTCAAGACGTGTGATAAGTTTGGTTAAATACTCTAATTGGCCTTCATTGATAGAGGTTTTAGGCAAGACTGGTATTGTTTGTGAGCGTTATGGCCTTAACCCCTAAATTTAAGTTAGGAAATGAATTTAATTTGGTTACTCCATAGATAAAATTGAAAACTTGATGGCAATATGCCATATTCCATTTGGTTAAAGTCTGTGGAGTATAGTTGGACGTTTTCTGCGTAAGAGGCTAGAAAACTTTGAAGTCTGAGATGTGTCATTTGGACAAGGAGGTCAAATAACTGGCATGATCCTCGCAGTTCACGTCGAGCGATCTCTGAAAATTTTGTCCTCCGATCAATTCAAACGAGGGAGCTGTTATTGGATACTCCTTTAGCATTGAATGCATTTATTGATATGCACTTAAGCCTGCCCGACTCATAGCAGCATATATTTTCTAGTAGCTTGGCCTAGTAAACCCGGTAGATGCCGTTTTCCACACATTCCACCTCATCAAGTTCGTCACATTTGCAAGCACTTCCACTGGTGATTTTGGCATTTAAATTCGATGCACACCTGGCAAATTTTAGAGTATTTTCGATGGACTCTATCGTTTATCTTTATCTTTGGCTGGCTAACTGACTATAGTTTCAATTTCCTGAATAACAACCCTTAAATGAGCACTGATAGAAAATGCACTTTTAACTATTACGCATGCCCAACTATTTGGAAAATTAGGTCCTTACATGTCTTTACTACACATATGACCCTGCTTGACACCAATTGTTATTTGTACTTTCTGCCATCAGGTTTATACAAATAAAGCTACTCTCTAGTGTTATTTGTGCAAACAACTAAGCACGTTGCTACTGAAGAGTTGTGAGTAGGATAAATTAGCAACATCAAACTGAAGGCAATACGAGCATAGAAGCTTGTCGTGAGATCTGCTCAATGACACTCCCATGCTACTTGAGAAGGTACCGGTTGAAGTGCCAAAACCCTAGGTTAGCAAGTATGAAATGTTATTGTTTCGTGCAATTTTTTCTTCTTTGTGTGATTTATTTGAAATTGTTGATTTACATATGCAAACAAATGATCGATAGTATTAACGCCCGAATCCATTACACTAGTTGATATTGCTTGTAAGTCATGATATTTATAAGCAAATTTCTTAATGACGTAAGTTAAATATTATGAATGCGGTCAAATAAGAGATGTAAATATATATTGCAGGTTCTGGGGTGTGCGATAGACTTACCTCCACGTGATGCACCCTGGGCAAC